CCTCCTATGACAAAATTTCCAGACCCCTCACTATCCCTGTGGACTGTCCTGGAAGTTGTCTAATTTGTCAACGTCTCTTTAAATGTGACAGACAGAAATGGACACAAGACTACAGATGCTGTTGATTAGAGCAGAGTACTATTAATTTTTGTGCTATAGGGACATACAACTACCAGAGCCCAAATCTGAATTTTTGTTGTTGTTTGCAGCCACAGCATGCTGCTCGTTCATATTAACCTTCTTTTTCCGCAAAAAGTGCCACCACACAAAATCACCTCCTTCCTTCCACACCAATGAATTACCATGCATTCACAGCTAAAAAATACCTTTTTGGTTTCAGCATAGCATTGCTGTCTATTTAACTGTGCTAACTCTAAATTCTGTTGTCTATTTCCAAGTCATCTGTGGATTTTTAAGCAATTCTCCTAGATCTCCATCAAAGTCACTGATACAAGTGTTGAATAAGAGAGCCAAGAGCAAAGGCTTGTGAACCAGGGATCACTTCCTGACCCAAACTCAGTGACCTACACACCTTGGTGGTGCTGGCCTGGCCAGTCTCACATTCTTACAGCAGTCTTGCTAAATAGTCTGCACATACAAGTATTCCGCATCCTTGGCAAATGCCCACACTAAAATCAAGACTCACGAATCTTTCAAAACAAAGTGTAAAAAACCTACACATATTAAAAGTATAGCTATGCAAATATATGTATGAACATGAACCATAGACTTAGAAAGAAGAACAGTCACCAAGGACAATTCTGCTGTTGTTCAGACTGCAGAGATTCTTCCTTATCAATACTGCCTTAAAAATAGCTACATTGTTTAAAAAACTTTAAACCCTAGAAATTTAGAGGGAATTTTGCTTGAAGGCAGTTCATGTGAAATAGCTAGAACATCAAGATTATCTGCTCCTACCATCCTGAAAACCCAACTAGAAAAAATTCCTTTTAAAAAACTTGTTGAAAGACTTGTTGATCCCTAGTGCACACCCATTTTGGGGTTTAGTTTTAGCTGTTTTTTTAATTTTTCATTCCTTTTTAAAGCTTGATATTTCTGTATATCTGTGAGATAACACACTGAAGAACTACCTCCTAAAGTTTAGAAAAAGCCTAGATGAGATATGTATGTGTACCCATTCAAGTCTCTGTTGAAGAGGCTGGGAAAGGATGCAAAGAAAAAAGTCACCATGTTAATACTTCTCAGAAACTCTGGCTTGAAAGAGAGCAAAGCTTTAAGGAACTCTCTTCCTCTAGCCCAAGAATCTCTAACAGACAAACTCAGAACATCTCCTCACCTAGAGATGCTTTTACCCTAAAAACAGAAAAGAAGATCTTGATAGGTTTGCATTTTGGTGTTTAGAACAGGGACTATGTAAAGATAAGTTTTAAGACACGGAGTCAAGTAGGATGGTAATAGTAAAAAAGAAAAAACTTGGTTAAAAAAAAAAATCCCTATCAAAGTGGCTAGTTATTTTGGAGAAAATGTGATGTGTAAATACTGCGCTTAATGGAATACCAAATAATCTGAATGTTTGGTTTGAGAATTTCTAACAAGTAGGTTTTTTTCAGGACTTCAGCATTTTGCTTATAGCATTTTCATCATTAGTAAACCTAGTGTCTGAAAATCGATAAACATTATCTTTATCTTTCCTATCATCAGTTTTCTCTGATGCTGTACTGTTATTTTCAATGTCTGGGAAACAAGTGATTTCACTTTATTTAAAAGTACAACTGTCACTTCACTAGAAATTAAACTAAATACACAACAGTGTAAAACTGGTAAATCAACAGTTTTTAGATTTTTAACAGTTATAAAACTGGGTAGAAAGACCATATGCAAAGTACAATTACTATTTGACAATTGAAAATTCTACTTTGCTTATAAATAAGTACATTTCCCCCTCAAGTTAGAAGTTAAGCCAATTGCATATGGTAAATCAGCAGCTTCACAAACCCCTAACAATTTGCCATTAAAAATAGATAAAGTATCCAGTAAAAAATACAACTTATTTGACAAGTGAAAATTCTACTTCATTTAGGAATCCTATTTTCCTACCATCCTAGAAGTTAAGCTAAACATCAGGTAAATTCACACTTTCAGAGAGATGTATGACATATTAGTCATAAGACAGGTAAAATGTCTAAATAGAATGTTTTTATATATTACATATAATAATAATTATTCAACAAGTGAAAATTCCACCTTGCTTAGAAATGCAATTAATTTTCCCCACAACACTAAAAGTTAAACTAAATACGTGAGGAAAATCAAGAGCTTCATAGATCTACAGCAAACTTATAAAAAACATGGATAAAATGTTCAAATGCAAAGTCCAGTTACTATTTGATAATGTATATAATGTATAATAGCATTCCTTATGTTTCCCTACAAGTGTGTACAAAATGGGTATGGAATATTCAACATCAAGAATAAACATCTGAGAAAATCCAAAATTCAGTTGAAATTCTAAGGTCAAAAAATATTTACCTAAAGTACTTGTGTATTAATGTTTTGTTAGTTTTTGCCTTAGACTTTTAATGTTATATTGCTATTTTAGATAACAAAAAAATGTTATCTACAGTATTTGTCTATTAAGGCTGTGATTTTGCTTTCAATACTTCTTTGTTGTTTCAGATAACCAAAAAAATTTTTATAGAAATACTTATGCTTTGATGTTTCTTTTTCCTAGAAAATTGTATTTCTAAGCAAAGTGGAAATTTTTGCACATTCAGAGAGGAATAAAAAAGCACAAGGAAATACACCAAAATGATACTATGCAAATGTAAGAATAGTGAGCTCAGTGATAACTATCAATTCTGTTTGTAAATATTTATGTATTAAGGGCTTTCCATTTGTAATTTAAATAAGAAAAATTAATGATTATTATTTGATTTTAAGTAAAACTGCAATTAAAAAAAATAATTTAAGACTTCTTGGAAAGAAGATAATTGAGAATTTAACCCCATTTTTTAATCTTTAGAAATTATACTTTTGTGACACTATCTATTAAAAATCCATATTATTTAAGTATATTTACATGTACAGAGAAAGTCTGAAAATGTATACTCTGAAACGCTTGCATATCTCTGAGGATGATAAGATTTTCTTCTTTATAGCTTTCTGGGAGGGGTTCCCCCTTGAAGTTTGTAAAATGAGTATTACTTTTATAATGACAAATTAATTTTTTTTTTTTCAAAGAAAAGCCCAGTCAATGCTCTGAAATGAAAAAGTCAAATTTGTTCAAACTTGCTCAAACTTTAAGTCTTGTGATAGATTTTTAAACGTGGATTCTTCCTACTTTTCATCTATACTGGTTTTTAACTTTACTTTTTAGGGGGGAAAAAAAGAATTCTCTCAGCTAACCAAGTGAGGTAACTTTTCTGGATTTAAAAAAAAAAAGCTAACGTTCTGTCAGTCCTATCCCCAGAACAGTACTCTAATCATACATAAGAAGTCCTTGGAGTATTCTACCTTTCTGAAAAAGATGACCATGCTAAAAATTAAATTGAAAGGCAATTCTAAAAAAGGTGTTCATACAATTTTCTAGATGTCTTTCATTGCTGGATATATGCATTTCATTCATTCATATTTTTTATGATAAAATTTTACTTCTAGTAAAATGCAAATTCTCAATTTAAAATGTGCTATAATTATGTGTATCCCTAGAATGGAACGCTTTAAGTGCAATCCCGCCTCTCTATTATTACTTACAACGGGTCAAATTCTTATTTATCTATGTATAAAATAATGTTGTTAACCTTATTAAAATATGCTCAATTTTATTCTTCAAACATCAATGTGTTTTATCCGCGTGTCAGGAACCCCAATCAACTGTAAACAATTTGGTTTTTAATTTTAACTTAAACTTTTTACCCAGATTAGCAATTCATTGTCAGTTTTTTGAGCTCCTCACACTTTGCGGTTCCCATTTAAGAAACGCTCTGTTAGGTGTTGTCAGCATCCTTCCGCATCAGTATTTTAGAGACTTATAACTCATGGAATTTCTCCCTAACAACCCCCAAAAATGTTTACATCTATAAATACACGCAAATATATGTTGCCGAATCTCAGCACCACGCTAGGAAGGATTAAACGGGCGGTTACCGTCACTAAATGCATTCACTAACCCTATACAAATTTAGAAAAATGTAACGTTGCAAAAAGAGCTAGGTCTCTTTGTAAATCTCGTAATCACCACCAAAAGCCTGGAGCTGAGATCCTCCGAAGCTAGCCAACCACGTTGGAGGAACCCACAGCTGTTTTTAATCATTTTTGCTTTCTCTAAATTGTGCGCTTGGTGGGGCAAACGATACTGTTTGCAGCGTCTCTGACCCTAAGCCGGGGTTAACCCTGACCTGAACGCCGTTTAGCTCCCAGCATTTCTGTATTTCGGTTCTTTGCTCTGAAAAAAAAAAAAAAAAACCTAAGAAAAACGGTGGATTTCTGCCACCAAGAAATGCTCTTAGGAAGAGAAGGGAATTAGGTATTTCATGTGTCACATTTTAGTGTTCTTTCCAGATCGGATTCAAGAAAAGAAAAAAAGATGTTTGTGTAAAGAGGGATGCAGCTTGACACCCATTTTCTACAGTACGCCTCGGAGCCACAAAACACCGATTGCGGGTGTAGAGCCCCCTAGGAAATTGGGCAACAACCCCCAGGTCTTTGCTGTGGACCTCTGGAGTGGTCCCCAGAAGGGCGCAGAGGAGTGGTGGTGTTGAAAATGGAAACTGAAGATGGAATTTCTGTGTTCCCTGGGCTGGGAGGGGCGGCGGCTGTGCATGGTGCTGGGGGAAAAGGACAGGGGTCAAGTCTGAGGATAGACGCAGAGGGCCCGGAAAATGGAGTGCAGGGTGACCTGGAGAAGGGGCGCATAGGGGTCGAGGCAACAAGAGGGGCTGGCACCCAGAGGGCGCGCCCATGTACCCAGAATTCAGGCGGGGGAAGGGAGGCGTCGGCCTGTTGGCCTCAGGACCTCCTGTCGCGCGCGGGTCACTAACCTGTCAGCAAGAAGGTGCCAGTAGTCGCGGGGCTCATCCTGCGTGTCCCCTGACCCTGTCCCGTCCAAGCACAAGGGTCTTCCAGCTCCCACCACCGGGGCAATTGAATTCTTGGCCTGGCTAGGCCGTCTGTCCTCGATTCTTCCCTCCCCTCCCTTTCTTCTTTCCTTCCAGCTTGGCCAGTTCAGCATCAGCATCCTGCACCCCCTCCCTGATACCTTACTCCCTCTAGCGGCGGGCCACTGTAGCGTGACCATTATCCCCTCCCCCAACCCCTGCCTCCACCCCCCTCCGCCCCCCAACCCGCAGAGCACGATGGGATTTGGCGCCCCCCACCGCTGTTCAGCCTATATAAGGCACCTAGCCGGCCGTCCTGGTACACGCGCTTCAACTTTGGTTGGTGTGTGTCGAAGAAACCTGACTGCTCTCTGAGGACAACAGCGGAAAGGGTCCACCGAGCCTTGCGAAAGGTCCGCTGAGCGGGCTCGCAGCCGGGACCACTCCGGGCTGCGGAGCACCCAGCGGATCCCACGCCTGGCACCGGTGTGGGACCCGTCCTTCCCGTCTTCACCGAGGGGTCCTCGCGTGGTGAGTATGCGGTGAGGATGTTTCTTATTTTTAAGATTACATTTATTCCCCTCCCCCTTTCCCCGTTGTATCGGGAGCCGCGGGAGATGGAGTAGCACCCCGGAATGTCTCCAAGCAAACCATGTCACGCCTTCATGGCTGTCCCCCAAAATATTGGGGGAAACCAAGCCTTCAGGGCTTTGGTTTCTTCGACTCAAGTCTAAATACGGGCTGTAGACAGATAATGAGCTGTGGACAGACATGAGCTGCAGACAGATATGAGCTACAGACCGATTTACTCTTCAAATGCGCTACAAACTAAAGGGCGCTTCTTGCGCTGTAACTTGATAAATGCTTCCAATGCGCTACAAATTGATGGACGCATCCAATGCGCTACAAACTGATGAACGAGCCCTTTGCACTACAAAATGATGGGCGCTTCAAGTGTCCTGCAAAGTGATGCACTTCTAGTGTGCTATAAAATATTCAAAGCTGCAGAATATAGCCGATTTGCTACCAAAGCGCTTCAATTGCGCTACACATTAGTCTGAACTGCAAAGATACATAAGCTATAGACCGAAGACTGGTTTGTGCCTTAAATGCGCTATAAAATCTGAGCTGCTGAAGACTCGCGCTACACAAATAAAAGGTTAGCGCTTCATTGCGCTGCAAACCATACGCACGGCAGAGGTTCATGAGCTGCTGTACAGTTTTCACCTAAAACGCTACAAAGTGGTAACAGCTGCAGAGGTACACAAGCTGCAGACTGATTTGCGCGACAAATAAACCTACCAAAGAGGGACTTTAGCAGCACAGTGAGACTACTCTGTCTTTTTAAGTGAGGGACCGCACCCTTTGTCTCTAACACACCTTTTGGAATGGCTCCCACTATGTTTTTTGATGGACGATTCTTTGCATGATGGTACTATTAGACAAAATGGAGCCCCGAGCTAAAAAAAAGTGCTTAACATTCTGTCCACATCATTCCATTCCTGCTTATCAGTGGAATGGAGGGGCTCTGACTTGAGTGTAAAAGAGAATTTTTGGTGGCGGCAGATCGGACTGCTTGTCTAGTTGAGCTTGATTGAAGTCGCGGTATAGTTGCAGCACTGGCTAGTTCAGCAACAGTTTGTGGAAACTGTTGGTTTGCTGAATATTGGAGTGTGGAATTGGATGTGGGGGTGATTACTCTTGCGGCAAGAAATGAATCTGGCTGTTGGAGCTTGGTGGGAGGGGTTTCCTGAGGGGGGACTCTGGGAGTGGCCAACAGATACTCTGTAGCTATCAACAGCCAGCCTCAGACCCGCGTCGCCCACCCCTAGTGTGCCTTCTCTGCTGCTTGTGCGCAGAGCACACTTAGTGCCGCCCCCCCCCCAAGCGCCTACTCAGAGCGCGCCTCCCCTGCAGCGCGCCTCCTTCTGCGCGCCTCCCCTGCTGCGCGCCTTTCCAGAGCTCTCTTTACTGATCTTCCTACCTAGCTCTGGCTCTTGGGAGCGCGCCTACCCAGACCCCGCCTCAAAGCCCGCCTCCTCTGGAGTAGCCTGCCCAGACCCCGCCTCTTCAAAGCTTGGACCCTCCTCCTTGAATTGACCTACCCAGACCCCGCCTCTCTATATTCTTGCCCCTCCCTGAGCCTGCCTCCTTTGAGCTGGCCTACTGGCCCCACCTCCCCAGAATCTGTGCGCCTGTGCAGAGTGAACACCCCTCAGCCCCCACCCGTGGGCCGGTTGGGGGGGGCGCTCTTTCCTCTGCGCATGTGCACCTCCTGTGTCTGAGACTGGCTGCACAGCTCCGCCCTCCTGCGGTTTATCTGCTGTTTTGGCTTTAATGTCTATCCACTAGTGTCTTTAAGTATATGAATAAAAATTAATTATAATTAACAACAATCATAATTACATGACACTTATAAATTTATTTTATAAGTGCTTTGCATATACTAAATAACTAATCCCACAATTTAAACTAATGATAGTGGGTTATGAAGGGCCCTTTTAAGTTGACATGCTTTTAAGCTGACATGGCTAACACCTCAAGGTGTGATTCGTTTCAATGCTTTCACTACTAGTGAGAAACAAATTTATAAAATAATTTTAAGACTTTTTTTATTTGAGACACTAGTGGACCTTTGTGATGATACCTAATGGAATTGAATGTTTGGGTGGACACAAACTAAGGAACAACCTGAATTGTTTAAGAGTTTTATTAAGTGGTGCATTGATTTTGCGTGCATTTGAGCAAGCATAAGGGTGAGATATTGTTATGAATCTGGATTTTTTATTTAAACTTCGAAGGAATTAGCCCTGGTAAAGACCTGGACTGCTAACTAAATGGTCCTGGTTTGCATCCATCAGTCACTCTGGAGACAAATGTGGCAGTCAGCTTCCTTAAAGATTACAGCCTTGAAAACTCTTGTGGGACAATGCAACATTGCCCTATAGGATCAGAAATGGATTCAGTTTTGGTAACTTGCCTACAAACAATTGTGCTTGGCATATAGTAGATGTTCATCCGAAAGTGACCAATGGAAACTGTGTTTGATGTTTTGCTTGGTATCTGCAAGGAGCCCTAGTGGCACAGTGCTTATGCAGTGGGCTGCTAACCAAAGGGCAACTGTATTTGTAGGTGTTTTCTAGGTTTCTTGCTAGTGTCTACCTCTTAGGATGTTTTGCTGTCCTTGGTGATTTTGCTTGCCTTATTTCAAACCTAACAGGATCTTTATTTTTTTAAAAAAGGATGTTTCGACTCCAATAATGTAAGCTGTAATTAAAATACAAAACAATTATAAGTTAAGTTAATCAAGATAGTTTGCTTTTCTAATAGAAAAGAAAAGCTAATAATTTAAATTTGGGGCAAGTGCATTATTTAATGGTACTGTATTTAAATATTCTGTAATGTACTATAAAGTGGTTACATAACAAAACACAGATTAGATAATCTCATAATTAATTAAAACCTGACACATCTGTATGTAAATGAAATTCATGATTTACTGTCAGACACCCCACTTAAAAATTGTTTCTAACTGAATAAAGAAACTTAAAAACCTGGCTTCATAAATTACAGATTGTGAGTCAGGACCTTTGTAAGGAAAAACATGGGGTGTGGTTCTCTAAAATCTATCATTCCTCCCCAGTCACCCCAAACAAGATTATAACCTTATGCTTACCATAGGACAGTTTTACATAAGTCTCCAAGCCCCCATTTTTGCACAACTGGCCATCCTGAGCTCTTCCTCTATGGAAATTACTTATCTGCATTTTAAAGAGGTCCAAAACAATGGCAAAAGCACACACATGTTAATAAAATTTGCAGTTCACAGCACACTGAATACTCAAAGAAACATGCACGGTGTATGAAAATGTAAAGCAACTGATTGCTTAATCAGTGTAATTTCCTAATGGAACATTATGCACATGCTTTGTGGTTCTTGGCTACTATTGTTTTGGTGTGTTTGGGGAATGAGAAGTTTGACTGGAAAACTTTGTGAAGAAGCAAAGATGAATTAAATATATTTAATTGCTACATAAACTAAAACTGAAATCTTGATCATATGTAAAGATGGCATCTTTCCCAGGTTGATTGGCTTTATGTTGTGTGTTCTTAAGAGTTTTCAGGACCCATCTCTCCAGTCCAGCTCTCCAGTCCAGCCATTACTGAGGAAATATAAGGAAACATAACTTAAATCAAGTTAAAATGCTCCTTATCCTATGCTTACGCATGCCCAAGTGCTATTTAAAATTTTCAAAACTTTATTTACAGTTAAAATGCCTTGTTAACTTGCTTGCCTAGTAGTTTTTAAATAGTCAGCCACTCTGGGCAGGTTATCTCTTTTAGGATTTAGAATCCCATACCCAAATTATAAACCCTGAGGTGGAGCTGTACTGCTTGATTTTGGTAAAGACCAGGGTTTTAAACCAGTACTGTATTGAAATTTTATGAAAAGAATTGAATGACTTACACAGTTGCAGCCCCTCCTATTGTCTTTAAGTTTCTTCCTATTTGTTACAGGCATTTGAATTTTCAACCCTTGTTGATTTTAGTTTCTCTAAGCAAATATAGTATTATTCCACCACAGCTTTTTACAGATGTTAAAATCATCAGGCCAGGGACTGAATAAAGAGCCTCCTTCCCCTATCTAGTGGCTGTGATTGACATGTATGTTGACCTTCCTGACCTGGCCATACTGTGAATGCCCTTTAGGAAGTCTTCAGACTGTGGTTTGAATGTATTAAAATTTCCAGATGAAATGACATCTTTGACATTTGGCCTGTGCTTATTGTTAATGGGACACTAAAATGCCTAATTTAATAAATAAAAATTATATTATTTTATGACCTTATATGCAAAGTTGCCATCACAGTGGTCTGTAAGGAGTTGGAAATGAGTCTAGTGCGCAATAATCTGTGTGTTGACTGTTGTGTTCTAATTTTTTTCTAAATTTGAGTGTTTCATCTTTATTATGATGGTAAAAAAAAGTGCCAGTTATTCATTGTTATTAAATAGCCTAAGTTACTAAAGTAATTAAGTAGAAGAGGGTGCTAGAAGGGGGGGGAGGGAGCACTTCTTCCTAGGCCTGATAATTACAGGCATTTTGTTTTATTACACACCCTCCCTTTTGTTTCTTTTTTGGTTCCTTATGGGTTATAATATTAATTATTTTTCACCTAACTGCTCTAAATAACAAATGTTTGTTTTTATTCTTTATTTGATGGCATTTATTTGGTGTTTATCCTTACCCTGATAGGTTAGAAAAGGGTTATAGCGTCAGGACAGCCAACCTGCCCTATTTTATATATGTTCTTAAACTTGAACTTTGTGTACTCTTCTGGAGTTTTCCAAATAGGAAAATTTGAGGCTCATTAAGAGATCATTAGAAATTCAAAATAATCCTGGTAGTTGTGGTGCTTGTTTTGTTCTGATAATTGTAGAGGTGTGGGAGCAGAGCACTCCTGCAGGGTCCGTGAGCATATGTGATTTTAATGCCTTCTTTTATTGTAGTTGTTTATTGATTGGACCGTCAGCAATTATTCACTTAACATCTCTAAATAGTAAGCAGTTATTATCATTTGTGTGCTGTATTTTGTGTGATGTATTCATACTTGCCTTGAAAGTTTCTTGATCAATGCAAAAGTTTAGGGTGTGTCTCAGGAAGGTAAGGGTTTGGTTAATAGAGTTATGTTATTGTTTAGCTTTATGAACAAGTGACTTTTGAGGAAGAAAGGTAAATTTTGGATATCAAAGGAGTGAACTGCTTTTGTGACCTGCTGTCCTATTTAACTTCCTTCTCCTTTTCTGTTGCAGGTTTGTTTTTCTTTAATAAAAGCAATTAAAATACTTTAAATACTAAAGTGTACTTTAAAGATAATTTAAAGTATACTTTAAGTACTATCAGCCTAGCCTCCTTTGCATTTTGCTAGTTTGAAATGGACATGTTAAATTTATACTTTTATTTTAATTTACAGGAATAAGCGGCTTTTGAAAACAAAAAGAAGAAAGGGGGGCAGAAGCGGCCAGGATCCCGGCCCCCAATCTCATAGCAGTGAAGCTACACCTGGGAGGTCTCCTCCCACCCCAGCTCTCAACCTGGGGCCCGACTGCCCACCTCCTCCTCCTCCTCCTCCTCCTAACAACCCCTCCTCCTCCAAACACAGTGGCCAAAAGGGCCAGTACAACGCCAACCTGGCCGAGAGAAAGAGAGACGATCTCTCAGAAGAAATCAATTCCTTAAGAGAGAAAGTCATGAAGCAGTCTGAGGAGAACAACAACCTTCAGAACCAGGTGCAGAAACTCACTGAAGAGAACAGCTCCCTGCGTGAGCAGGTTGAGCCCGCCCCTCAGGCTGAGGACGAGGACCTCGAGCTCTGTGGTGCTGCTGCTGCTGCCGTCCCACCTCCTCCCTGCGAGGAAGAGTGCCCCGATGACCTACCCGAGAAATTTGATGGAAACCCTGACATGTTGGCTGCTTTCATGGCCCAGTGCCAGATCTTCATGGAAAAGAGCACCAGAGATTTCTCAGTGGATCGCGTCCGCGTCTGCTTCGTGACAAGCATGATGACCGGCCGTGCAGCCCGCTGGGCCTCTGCAAAGCTGGAGCAATCCAATTACCTGATGCACAACTACCCCGCCTTCATGATAGAGATGAAGCACGTCTTTGAAGATCCTCAGAGGCGCGAGGCCGCAAAGCGCAAGATTCGACGTCTGCGCCAAGGCATGGGCTCTGTCATCGATTATTCCAACGCTTTCCAGATGATTGCCCAGGACCTGGATTGGAACGAGCCTGCACTGATTGACCAATACCACGAGGGCCTCAGTGACCACATTCAGGAGGAGCTCTCCCGCCTGGAAGTTGCCAAGTCTCTGTCCGCACTGATCGGCCAGTGCATTCACATTGAGAGAAGGCTGGCCAGAGCAGCTGCAGCTCGGAAGCCGCGCTCCCCGCCGCCTCGGGCACTGATGATGTCTCACTCCTCAGGCCACCACCAGCTGGATCCCACCGAGCCCGTGGGAGGTGCCCGCATGCGCTTGACCCAGGAAGAAAAAGAAAGACGCAGAAAGCTGAACCTCTGCCTGTATTGTGGAACAGGAGGTCACTACGCCGACAGCTGTCCTGCCAAGGCCTCAAAGGCTTCACCGGCGGGAAACTCCCCGGCCCCGCTGTAGAGGGACCATCAGCGACCGGGCCAGAACGAATAAGGTCCCCACGAAATGAAATTTCAACCCCACACTTGCAAGTGATGCTCCAGATTCATCTTCCGGGCAGACACACCCTGTTCGTCCGAGCCATGATTGACTCTGGTGCTTCCGGCAACTTCATTGATCACGAATATGTTGCCCAAAATGGAATTCCTCTGCGAGTAAAGGATTGGCCAATCCTTGTAGAAGCTATTGATGGACGCCCCATAGCATCGGGTCCAGTGGTCCACGAAACACATGACCTCATAGTTGACCTTGGAGATCACCGTGAGGTGCTGTCATTCGATGTGACTCAGTCTCCATTCTTCCCTGTTGTCCTAGGGGTCCGCTGGCTGAGCACACATGACCCCAACATTACATGGAGCACCAGATCGATCGTCTTCGATTCTGAATATTGCCGATACCACTGCCGGATGTATTCTCCACTTCCACCGGCACCTCCACCAGCACCACAACCATCAATATATTACCCAGTAGATGGCTACAGAGTTTACCAACCAATGAGGTATTATTATGTCCAGAATGTATACACTCCAGTAGATGAAAATGTTTACCCAGACAACCACGTGGCTGACTGCAACGTAGACATGATACCAGGAGCACACAGCATTCCAAGTGGACATGTTTACTCACTGTCTGAACCTGAAATGGCTGCTCTTCGAGATTTTGTGGCAAGAAATGTGAAAGATGGGCTGATTACTCCAACCATCGCACCCAATGGAGCCCAAGTCCTCCAAGTGAAAAGGGGCTGGAAGCTGCAAGTTTCTTACGATAGCCGAGCTCCTAACAGTTTTACCATCCAGAATCAGTATCCTCGGCTGTCTATTCCAAATTTAGATGACCAAGCTCACCTGGCATCATATGTTGAATATGTACCACAAATACCTGCCTATCAAGCATACCCCACCTATACAACATACCCGACTTATCCAGTAGGATTCGCCTGGTACCCAGTGGGAAGAGATGGGCATGGGCGGTCACTGTATGTACCTGTTATGATCACCTGGAATCCACATTGGTACCGCCAGCCTCCGGTACCTCAGTACCCACCGCCCCCACCACCGCCTCCACCACCGCCACCGCCACCGCCATCTTACAGCGCCATGTAAATACCTGTCATGTCCTTCAGAATCTGTACCCTCAAAATGTATTCCTGCTCAGCTTCTCAAATCATTGACGGTGTGTGCTAAATTGGACTATTGTACTGTCAGGCCAAACTTGGACTGGCACACAGCCTAAAGCACCAAAACACCTTCCACATTTTCTGAGAGCAAGAGAACATTTACCAAGTCTCCATTTTCCACCTTGACTGCCAAGCTCACTAAGATACTTTTAAAAGTTTACTTTCCAGCGAATCTTGGAAGCCAACCTGGGTTTTACCTGTAGAAACCTCTGTCACCATCTGAATTGTAGGCGACCAGATTCCCTGTTGATTATTTACAGAGAAGCTGAAACAAACACAGGAAATGCTATTTTCTTTACGGAGGGGGAGAAAAAGAGGAGGAGGGCATGACTTTTCTCTCGAAGTTTTGGTACTCTCCACATATTTCTGGAGGACCGACGCCTTATTAAGGAAGCCACAATTATTGGTGCAGTGTGAAACGGCTTCCGTGATCCTCTTGCTGCACCCTTAGAAACTTCACCATCTTCAAACTCCACTTTCATGCTTCCGTTAATTCTCAAGGAGCAGCAACTCGACCGGTTCTCCCAGAAGCAGGCAAATCCCTGCAACACGTAACACCTCAGGCCTGAGAAGGAAGTGCCCTCTCAGACAGACTCTTGCATGGTACGAGTGTGCCTTTACATCTGGTGCAAATCACATGTACCCAAGAACTCTGGCTTTGTCACAACCACCTTGCCATCATCATGCCAACAGTGGCTCCCACAAAACATTGAACCTGGGAACCAGACACTATTGGCTCCAGGTGTGTTAGATGTTTGTGAAATGTTGTGACCACCTTACCATCACCTGCCAGGGCTACGAGTAGCAAGTTAAAAGGACTCCTGAATTCTGCACCCAACTCTTAAAAGAAACTCTTGAGTTAATGTTAGCAACTTGCCCTGATGGTTCAGAATGATTGTTCATGAGCGTTGTCAATTGACTGGAAAAGCTACCACCTGAAGGTCTTGGAAGCATCCATCCATATTTCTGCTCTCATATGCATCTGGGTATTCCATCATCAGTTCCCTTGCTAGACTAGCATTTTAATGCCTAAGAGAGGGGAAATGATTTTAGCACCCAGACCCACACTCCTATGACTGAGAGGGATCTCTGAAGAAGAGGAAGTTGGGGCACTGGACACTATTTTGAGGATAGGGACTTCTTTTGTGAACTTCAGATCTAGCTGGATGGCGTGACCTTTCATCCAGATCTAGATGGGAACAGCTATAAAGAAATCAAAAGTTTACATAATGGAAAAGGGGCCCCCTTCTAGGGGATGTATGTAGCACACTTTAAGATGCCAATGGATGAAAGGCCTCTGACAACGACTCAAAGCAGCAGACAACACAACGTTGTCCTCAATCCAGTGTCTTCTGGATGCTTTGTGCTAAACTGGGACTGCCTGACTTCCTTTAGCCTGGTCCCTTGCTACTACCTTGAACTGTTTGTCTAACCTCTCTCTTTCTGTTTAATCCTTTACTACTGCCATTAACCCTGCTGCAGGATTTGTGTCATCCTTCTTCCTGCCTTGCTTGCTGAGACTCCATTTTGCGGCCATGCGTGGAGAAGAAAGAGGCAAGCTTCAAGGGGCATGCAAGTCTCAACACACACAACCCCCAGTTGCCAAAACAGTTTGAGCAGTAGAAAACAACATGGTGTATATTTCAAATTACTTAACATGAAGAGGAGTCTAATGGTGAAGTTTCATATTCCATCAGCATCATCTCTTTCTTCATGATTCCCCCACCCTTAATTCTTTCTTGCATGTTTAAATACTTAAAATCTTTCCCTGTAGTTTAGTGTAGTGTCCTTTCATGGTGTTTTTAAGTAGCGAGTGTGCTTTCAAAGTCTATTTCCATTGAATAGCCAAGTACTGTTGGATTTTAGTGACATTGATAGTAATGTAGTGTGAAATATTTCTTTACTGTGAACTTCTCTTACAACACTGTGAATGAGAGGCTCCTGAGAACTGGAGTATTTGTGTATTCATCCTGTTCATTTTCAGTCTTATATTTTAACATCAAACAATTTGGCTTGATTTTCAACTTCTAAAAAATCACTCAAAAGAACTTAATAGTTTCAAAGAAGATGCCTAATTGGCTACTAATTTGATCCCAAACAACATTTGTGTCAGTCATTCATGTTTTTTGTGTAATTACTTTGAAAATGGTGCATTTGTGCTTCTGGACTATTTTGAAGCGACACTTCAGTTTACCTCAAATACCAATTCATCCTCCATACATTTGAAATCAACTTGTTTTATGTCAAATTCATAGCTGTTGGTTGATCTTCAAGCTGCAGAAGGCCTAGCAATGGGCCGTTGTCTGCAGCCCTGGCATGTGCACACGGACATTTGCCACCACTACAAGCAAAAGTTTGGCGATGTTGCCAACGACAAAAACGGGGAGAGCATGCTGGTGTTCACAACTCACCAAATCCCTGATACAAGTCTGGCTGTTTACTAAAGCTTGTAACTTCTTGGCAGTGTGTACTATGCTCTATTACAGTATATATCTATAAGTATAGGAGTTAAGGATAAGTAATCTCAAATTTATTGTACTTTAAAATTTGAATTTGAATAAGTTTCCTTTCACTCAATTGATTTGCTGAACAAATTAAGTTAAACAATTTTAGTTAATTCGAGCCTTTAAAAACTTTTGTTTGGCATTTCCCAACAAAATGCCTTTATTCATAAGAAAGAAATAAAGAATGAAATTAAATATCTAAAGAAGTTGGAAAAGGGAGCAAAATGAAAGCAAAAGGAGAAATCTAAAAAACATCAGAGTTATCAAGTGAAGCCAGTAGTCAATTCTTTGAAACAAATTGGCAAAATTGATTGACTGTTGGCCTAAATTTTCAATGTGAATGAATGACATCAAGGAAAAGGAGATACAGTAGCTCCCATTGTTAGATGAGTCTGAGAGCGCTAGCTAAGGTCACCATGCTAGTGTATTGAAATTGAAGAAGTTTTACATAACATTTCTGAAGGGTGAATTTAGTTTGAGCATTGAGGTATTTGTGTTAGATATTAGAAAATCACGATTGATTAGATCATGTGAAGCTCATAAAATAAGAGGGGCACATCTGTCAGGTGCAGGTTGGATTTCTGTTTAAGTTCGCAGATACCTCAGACTCCTGAATTGATCCACCACAGACATCTAACATCAGATTCCGTTCCAAGATTGGCAACAGAGAACACACCTTGCTGGAAAGACCTGGGAAGAAATGAAGGACCAACTGAGGAGATGAAGAGCGGGGAGAGGATACATGCTCATCTTAAGAGAGGATACATCTTGTGGGACTGAAAAAGTTCTTTGTTGTTTGAGATTGTAGAACGTTATCAAATTGATCTGTGGAAACTTGCTTTGTTTATTATTTTTTTGTTATCAGTTTAATTAATAGGGGATATTATATAATCATAAGTACTTTAGGGGGGGTGGGAGGGATTATTAAGTAATCTTAAATGGGTAGGATTAATTAGAAAATAAGAATATTATGTATTAGGTATCTCTATAGGTAGACGTGTGTGACCCCTTTACCCTATAACTGTTACCCTTAAAGATTTCAAGTGAATGCAGATGGAACAGCAAGGAAATCACCTGTTTAGGACTAATTGAACATGGAAAAAAAATTATTGAAAGTTTAAAAGTGATTAGATAAAGAAATTAATAGTCTTTTTGCCCTGGGTATTAATTCCAGGGAATAAGATTGTGAGCAAAAGATTTAGAAAGTCACAGCATGGATTGATGTTGGTTAAAAAATTATTGCTGAATAACATTGATAATGATGGATGGTAATTAGAAAGTGATGAATAAGAATCCTTGTGTGTACCCCTATCAATAGCCCTCTTCCTTACCCCTGCCTCTTCTCCCTACCCTATTACCTCCCCCCATCAACTCCCTTCCCCCACTTCACCTCCCTTGCCCCATATTACTTCTCTTACCCCTTATCCCATAGTACCCCTTATCACTCACAACCCTTCCCCTACATCACCTCACTTCCCCTATATCATTTCCCTTCCCCATCGCCCCTCCCCTATCACCTCTGCCCCATCACCTCTCTCCTCCCCCCACCGTCCCCCCTCCCTCATCACCTCCTTCCTCCTGCATCACTGCCCTTCCCTACCACCATCCTTCCCCATCACCTACCTCCTCCTCCATCACTTCCCTCCTCCTGCTTCACTGCCCTCCCCCATCACCTCCCTCCTCCTGCTTCACTGCCCTCCCCCATCACCTCCCTCCTCCTGCCTCACTGCCCTCCCCATCACCTCCCTCCTCCTGCCTCACTGCCCTCCCCCATCACCGCCCTCCCCATCACTTCCCTCCTCCTGCATCACTCTCCTCCCCCATCACAGCCCTCTCCCATCACCTCCCTCCTCCTCTGTCACCTCCCTCCTCCTACATCACTGCCCTCCCCCATCACCACCCTCCTCTCCACATCACCTCCCTCCTTCTGCATCACTGCCCTCTCCCTCCCCCATCACAGCCCTCTCCTATCACCTCCCTCCTCCTCTGTCACCTCCCTCCTCCATCACTGCCCTCCCCCATCACCACCCTCCTCTCCACATCACCTCCCTCCTCCTGCATCACTGCCCTCCCCCATCATATCTCCCTCCTCCTGCATCACCTCCCTCCCCCACCTCACCTTCTTTATCCCATACACTGCCCTTCCCCCATACCACCTCCTTGACTCCCCTATTGTCCCCCTTGCCCCATATTACCTCCCTGACCCCATATCACCTCCCTATCCCTACTCTCCTTCCAATTTATTCTCTTTACTCAATATTTCTCTCTATTTACTAATACTGTATTGTGATTTAATAAAAATTCAATTAATAAAGATTTAGTGATTAAGCGCAAACTGTGTCCTGATCATTTCAGCATCCATTGGCATCAGGGGCTTGTATGGAGGTGGGTGGTTCGGATGGTAAATAGGGGGTGGGGAGCA